GTGGCCCGCCCCCGCCAGCGCCACCACCGCCAGCACCGCCACCACCCCCAGCGCCCACGGCCTGCAACAGCAGCGACACGCGCGCGTCACTCAGTGGACATCTGACAAAGACGTCCCTAATAACATGGTCTCATACAGAAAATTATAAATAATTAATTAATTGTCCTTGATTTGAATAAGTGCATTCACGTAACATCTTTTGCCATAATGCATTCATTTTTTTCCAATTCGGTTTCATTTTTATATCAGAAGAAGCCGTAGTAAGTTATGGACGTCACCATGTCAGTATTCAGTAAATAACGAACGCGATTTTGTAACCAATGAAGCTCGTTATTTGTGATATCGGCTACGTCACTTTTCATTACTTCACCTTCTAGAATGAAACATGCATTCAAATATGAAATACCTTTCCTTTGACTAGCTCTATTTATAGGTCATCTTTAGTAGCAACGAATTTGTTCGATTGATCAAGTAAGGAGGATTGTTAAAAGCCATAACACATGCCGACCGATAAGGGTGGTTTTTCATTCCTGGTTGGTTGCATTACATCAATTTAATATTTAAATATTACGAAAAATAAAACGGCACCTTGAACTTTTAAATTAAACTTGGGAAACTTGTCCTTGTCACTCAATTGGGAAAGAGAAACGTGAAAAATCCAAGTACGCTATATCCGGAAAGAAGGGAATTAGTAATTAAGGTTAATCATCTTTTCTTGTTTCATATCGCTAATGTCGTCGAAGAGATGTCGTAGTCAAATACAAAACTTACCTTCCCGCGTAGTCACGTTAAACCTATGTATGATAATGTGCATATTACGGTCTAATCGTGTTACAACGTTATCAATTGTGAATTAAAACACGTTTATCTAGTGGCATAATTGAAAATTATGTAAAATACTATATTATAAAGTTATGAAACACTAACGAGGATGTAAATATTGATATTTAAAAATGATACATCAAAATAAATTCGTTTTCGGTAATTATATAAAATTGTGGGACTGAAAAGAACCATAAACGAAAAAGACAGATTGTTCCCGTGGTTTCATCGTCACTAATGTATAGACATGCGGAAGTCATGGAGCTGAAATATGGAGTTTTCGTATGTTAAAGGAATTGCATTTTTATTGTAGGATAATTTTATAGCTGTAAATCTGCCTTCCTAGTAAGCTTTCATACTTATGCATATGCCCCTGTGCATATGCAACCCACGCTACATTCCTGTGAAGCGGTACAAGACCTCATACAGTATGAACGAAGGTCAGAATTGAACATCAAGGACACTTTAATTCGAATCGATTGTTGAGTTTATGAAATACAAAACGGTTTGTATGTACTTGTAAGAAACACATTATTTATTTAGTGCTACAAACTAGGTACCAGAAAAATAAAATGTATGTTTGCCATACTAATTTGTACAATTTTTTCACAAAAATTATAATTCAAGACAATTTAATGTTTTTTTTAATTATTAGAATTACCAATAAGTAAATCAAGTAATAACTACAGAAACCAAAATATATGGAAGTATCCATAGCACGGCTTGTCGAGTGGAGTAAGGAAGGTACATGACCTGTCACTCGCCCCTGGAGAACAGTCGAAGACATGTTCCATACGAACCACTGAGCTAAATTACAGTGAGATTCAGGTTTCCCATTCGTAAATAAAAGCAAAGTACAGAAAGCGCGTGCATTTTTCTATACCTTTTAGAAGTTTTTACATTTTAACTTTTTTCTCTAGACCTGTGGGAGGGGGCATGCCCCCCTAGATTCGGCACTGCGATTACATCAGAATCATATCAAACACCTTGAATTTCGAATCTGAATTTGTTTTGGTAAACATTTTTACGTGATTTTTCTTTGCCATAGGGCATTTAAAAAATGAAGAGTATTTAATTAATCCTTTTGGCGATGTTTTAGGCCATCATAATCGCCGCCTTAGTTACTTTTCCCCCTCCTAGCAATACTACATACATGCCCGACCGTGAGTCGTGTTGCCGGGACATTAAGATTGTTTTTGTTGGAAACATTTTGGTTGAATGTGTCATATTACAGATTATGTAGAATGACATGGGCTAAACTCAGCTCTTGCTGCGATACGATTTTACTCATTTAACGAGTGGTCGAAATATTTTCACGGAGAAGAAACAAAGTTATGAAATGCTGCGCGAAAGGAACCGCGAATTTTCGGCAGAAAAACTCTTCTAGTAACGTAAAGGTGGATATGATCAGTTACTAAATTTCCTAGAATCCTGTAACACGTGTTGAAGTCAGAATATATGTTTAGGGGTCCTTATTTATTTCTTATTAAATTGTATTTGTTGTGAAATATTAAATCCTTCACACTTAAACACGTATTTTTTTCTTTCGATCATTTGACTGTTGTCAATCATATGTAACGAATTAAACACACAAAAATATTATTTACATCTGATTGCCTCAGAAGCACATCGTGATAAATTACAGTTTAATGGTACGTAATGTAGTGGGTTTTAAGGAGATAATTTGCTGTCTCTAGCTATTTTAATTTGAATAATGTGTTTGTATGCAGATTGTAGTAAAAATTGACAGTGGCATAGAATGGTTTAATGACCTTACAATAAGCAATTATTAACACAATTATAAGAAATACCAAGTTACTAGAAATGTTCGTTTTGAACAGTATCCTGAAAAATACAATTCTGATTAAAATAATAATATAATTAATAACTTCCAATACGTTTAATGATCCAAACATTTTCGTGTTTGATTCCCACAAGATATCTCAAACATCTGCGTGACTACAACATTCTAGCAAAGGAAAGAAAACTTGTACACTAAATGTCTGCTGGATGAATGTCGCAGAGGTGCAGTTAATGACAGTTTTATAGCTCAAGTCTTTCACTTTTTCAGGTCTCCGTGTGACGTAAACAAACAGATCCTCTTCCAACACTCTATCCTTGACCTAGAAAAGACCAAAAGAGCTCATTTCGCGTTGATGAGTCTATAATACTTGTATCATTATGATATAATTACATAGCAGCAAAGAACTCATTTTTGAAACTACTTATTTTCGCTATAAGTTTTTAATCATTAACGATCGAAGGTAATCAATTATTATTTCCTAACATTTTTGAGTATTCGTTTATGTCGTCCTTGTTTTTAAAGCTATTCTCTGTAAAAAAAAAATTAAATGATACCGTTAAAAATCGCCTGCCTTTTAACGAAGAGTAATAAATAAGAAATTAATTTCTTCTTCTATCAATCAAACCTCTGCATAAATGCCAATGGCACCACAAGCAGAGTCTTGGGGCCTTGAGAGAACGGAAAGGTTTCTCTTTCGTCGGCGTCCGTTGGAGCGTAGGACCCTGCGTAACGCACACTTCTCAAAATCGACGGGAACTTTCTTTCGGCCGTCGGAAATCAACATTCTCCTGCTGAACAAACACTCGAGCGACCGCGCGCGCACGAAAGTCGCAAAGCAAACGCCCCTCGCCGCCCTCCCCCTCCGCCCCCCCGTCACCACGGAGCCGCTATCACCGCCATCGCCGTCGCCGCCGCCGCCGCCAGCGACTTCTACGGCTAATGTTGACGGAGTGCCTGACGCCCCGGGCTGGGCGCCCGCTGCGAACGCTTTGCCTTCGGCCAATGAGGACGGGCCGGTGCTTGGATCTGGACGCTCATGATGGAAGCATTGCATCATTGAATTTACAGTTAATATTTCAAGAGTAGGAACGAAAGACTGCCATATCGTCGTAGAACCAACACTAATGAAGCTGTTAGCGTAAAAAATGGAATGCAATTTCAATGTACAAAACATTTAAGAGGAATGTTTCATAATTCAGAGTTTTCAGGGATTTACATATGAATTTCAAACTTTTTGGTTTAAATGAAAATACCAAGACATCTTGGCATTGTGGAGTGGGATGCAGTGATACGTGCAAATCAGGCGGAGCTGGCGGACGGAGAATTGTGGGCGCGGGACCGGACGGCGCGGGGCGAGGAGGGAATGAACGAGGAGATTTGGGATTGGTGGGGTGTGAGGTGGACGTGGCTACACGAAGAGAGCAAGACTGGCAGCATAGGGGGTGTGGAGCAAGTCTAAGGTTGCTGGGTGGATGAGCGCGCTAGGCAGAATGGAGAGGAGCAAGACGGGAATGGGGCGGATGTAAATAAAATTACTTTCATTTTACAGAATTCATTCCTCATCCTCAATAATAGAAGACTGCAACAAATAAATATACCCGACTCCTACTTCCTGTTGGGTTTCATCAACTAATCGAAATTATTGGTGTAGCAGCATGAATGCCGACTTAAAAGATTTGGTTAGAACGTGTGCAGATTCGTCTTGTCAGAACTAAGTGAGATGAGCTGGTACGAAGTAAAATGGATATGTCACAAACCCTCTTTAGTGAGCGGAATTCAAATTGCGATCTTCTGAACGGAGAACAGGAAACACATTGACAGACATCTCTCCTTCATTGAAGGGTTGAGCGGCCTAAAAGATTGTTGTCAAGCATAGTCGAGGGAGCTTGACGCCTAAACACAAAAACTAAGGACTTAGAATTTAAGAGTGGTCCTGAATGATTGATTATCATCTAGCATGTCATGCTTTAAGTCGTTAGCGTCGAAACTATGTTATTGTGTAATTGTATGGTACATGAAATAGTTTGTGTGTCAGTTTAATCGATTTAAGTTTCTAGAGACAGGCTGGCAAACGTAGATATACAACAATATTTGTTCTCACAAGTCACCAATTGCTTATCTGCAGTATTTGAAGACAGTATGAATGTAATATCCTGAGAGGAAACAAGTTAAATGTGGTTTCCCGAGAAGATCTCATCGCCGTGAAGACCGCGTGGAGCCCCCAAAACATTCCCAGGGCCCAAATCTCCGTTCATCCTCACCCCTCCTCGCTGCCTTCGCCGGCCATCGCCTGGCGGTGGGCGCGATTCAATTAGCCGCTAACGAGCTCGCGACTCCCGCCCGCGCGCCGTCAAGCCGGAGACTCGCGTTTCGGGCAGCGCTGACCTTTCACGAGACACGAAAGGCCGACGCGCGGGGCCGACCGCCGTGAGGCAATCGAAGCGTATCTCCAGCTCCGCGGGCGACGCAACCGCCACCGCCACACCACCACCACCACCGCCACAGCTACCGCTTGCATCTGCGCCTGCCCTTCCGCCCTCGCCCTCTCCTTATCCTTCTCAGCCGCCTCCGTCCCCAGCGCCGCCCCGCGCAAAGAGGCTGCCGAAGAGAACTGGCGGTTGCGCGCGCCGTTGGCCAACGCAGGCCGGGCGCTGCTGGGTCACGCGCGGAATTGATTCGAATGGCCCTCGCTGTCTATCGCCAGCGGGATCTTTTGTCGTGATCAATAGCCGACAGGTGTGATATTCATTACGCGGGACACAAGCGACTCTCCAATAAATCTTGGGAAGCTCTTTACCAACAAAGAAAAAACATTTATTCTTCCCTCCCACATCTCATCCCGCACTGACCGGGAGACATGGCTCAAGGCATCAAATGATGTCATTGCAATCTCTCTCACCGGGAGGTCCAGGTGCGAGTTCCGACGGTGGGAAGATTTTCGACAGTAGCTTGTCAGCTAGGTGCAATTCAGTTGCTGTCTGGAGGAGAATTCTAGTAACCGGCTGCCTTGATCGGTAGTTTTCCGTGGTTTCTCCAATTAATACCAGGCGAATGCCGGAGCAGTGCCCTAACAAACGGGCCACGTACCGCGCGCGATCTTTCCTCCTCTTCCTTGTCCTATCCTCCCCTTTCCCACACATGCACTTACATTCACAACACTACCACGTATGCCGGGAGACCGGTTGGGGGCGTAGGCTTCTCCCGGCTGGGGCGGTGCTCCGTTGGGATATACCTTGTTGGGGAAACCTCGGCAGCAGACGTTAGGTCGCGCCGGATCTGGCCATACAGCGGCGGGAAACCAAAGCGGCGGGAGTTTCTTACAGTTTCAATAAGAAAACAGCTATTTTTGTGAAAATCGTTCTTGACATACGTGCTGGAAAATTATTTTTAGATTTAGTAAAATAAATAATAATTAAATGTACCATTAGCATTTTAGTGAAATAAATTTTGTTATTCCATTTGGCACATAATATCAAAACAAGTGATGAAAAGGAATTAAGTGTCGAAAATAAATTTTTAGAAACAATGTAAGCAATTTTTTCTCAAATTCATTAAAAAGGTTCAGAATTGGGTTCCTGAGTATTGCAAAAACAATGTTCGACAATAGAGCTTGAAGACGATATTGTTTGACATGTACTCGAGCCTGGCGTTATCTCTCGTAACTAGGAACTAAGCGTTAGGGAAGTCGGATCTCAAGAGCGCATTCGCGATACCCCCGAAGAGGTTTAGAAAATAGTTACTTTGTAAACAAATTAAGAGGCCCAACAAGAGATGACAGATAAAGAGTAATTGAACGAACATCTAATTTTATCTTTGGAGTATCGTCTCGCCTCATTTGATGATCCTTCTGGCGGGAAGCAGGGAGAAGGTAACCTTTTTTATCAGGATGAAGAGTTTAAAAGGTTATCGTATTTCATAAATTTACGAGTATCATGGCTAGCCGCTTTCCCCGCACAAAGTGCAAGTCGTTATAGTTAAAGTTATCTTATTCTCGGTTTCCCATTATTCCGTGCCAGAAGCATAAGCGTTCGTTTGTGTACTTCTGATGACTTTTCTTGACAACAGTAATTGTCCTTTGCCTTTTCTTTTAAAACAGTGAAACAGGTCTAATACAACAAATAAAACAATAATTTTCATTATCAAAGCTGTAAAAAATATAATTTGAATGTTACTAATACTTCAGCATTTCTGCTTTGCCGATTAGAGAACGTAGAGTTTCGAATACAGAACGAGATAAATTATGTAGATTGGGAACAAGGACTCGAGTTATACAATACTGGAAATACAAAAGTGATACTAATTTTTTTGAAAACCAATTTTGGCGAGATATTGACATTGTAAGACAACGTATAAATCAGACGTTTTTAAGTTTTAGTTTTCATTTATAAGACGTTTCTATCTTCTACGTATTCTTCAGCTTTTCTAGAAATGTATACAATATAAAAGAACAGAAAATATATTTTTATAAATTGTTTCCAGTACTATACTATTACACGCTTCGAGCATTTTGAATATTATAATGGAAATAGTTTGCTGTGCATTAACTGCAATACTTGAGGACCAAATGAAGCTTAGAAGACTGACCTAGACCTCCCTTTGGTACAAGAAAAGGGGGCAAAGACATGGCACAAGAGAAAAAGAAGAAGAGAGTTATAATAAACCGAGCGGGGAAACGATTAGCGCCCTCCTCGCACCACGTGACCTGCTCACAGTTCCTATAGGTAAAATAGTACAACTGCTAGGAATGCAGGCAAAACGAGTATAGGGTAATGAAGAAAGTTGCTGCAACATGGAAACCCAATCCACAAGAACGCTGTTTCTTCTCCACGTGCCCCATGCACGAGAATGAAATTCGAAACTCAAAGCAATTAATTCGACACCCTGGCGCATGGTTATAGGCAAGCGTTAAGAGCAGTTTAACAGCCGGGGGAGGGGGCAACCGACCCGGTAGCGCCAAGAGTCGCTGCGTGATTGTGCCGGGAGGTGCGCTCGCCGGGCGCACACTGTGATCGCGCGCGGCCTTTCGCCCTCCGGGGGGGGCTTCTGCTAACAAAACGCCTCCGCCACCGC